CTACAATTTATATTAATAAAATTATATTTATTCGATAATTTGCTTTTAAATGATTATACAAATTGCAGATTTTTCTTCTTTTAAGTGCATATCGCGCAGTCTTCAGATACTTCTCTCTTCAAATTCAAGAAACAGGCACCGTTTGCTGCATCGTTTTCCCCCCCAAATATGACGCACACTAAACCGTTTAACGCCACATGTCGCCATAATTTGTGTACCCATTTATTTATGGTGCGGAACGTTTTTTCTATTTCTTCATTTTGTAATTTATTTTCTTCTATCCTAACATGGCACAAAGTAAAGGCATGTTCCATTGCTATTTGAGAAGCTCGAGTTACTGTCTGTTTATCATTTTCCGTTACCACAAGGCGTACCTGTAATAAAAGTAAAATACTGGTAAAGTATATAACAAAATTTATTAATGTAATTTGTTAGATTGTTTAATACTGGAATGCATACGTGATCGTCTTTGTCGAAATTTTCATCATCCATAATATTAATAGAAGAAGTTAAATATTTGGAATATTCGTTCATAACTTTTTCACTACCTACAATGGCAGCAGTTTTTTGGTTCTTCGTTGCATGTTTAAATATCGAAGTCGCATAATTTCGCATTTCATGTGTCATTAACTTATAATCAGATTTACGCTTTTCTGCTTTCATCTTTAAAACATTCATATCACATCGGCCAAGTAACACAGCATCTCCATAATCCACGCTATTTGCTAATTTTAATTGTACTAATTTCATGGAAGCCGATGAATCTTCAGTTGAACAATGACCAGAATTACTTTCTTGTATTTTTTCTCCGAGAAATTCTCTCGCTAGAGTCTGTAATTTTGTTTTCCTGTATCTATAATTAAATATGACAATATTTAAAAAATTGGTAATAATACAATTTTAACATAAAGGCAGAAAGTGGTATATTTACCTATCACCAGTAATGTTAAAAATTACAGATGTATCAATAATATATGGATGCATCATTTTCAATGTATGAAGATCAAAATTTAAGCTTTGACCTACAAGAATTGCATCCGCAGGAAGTAATTTTCGCAACGTTTGTTGAACATCAGATAGCGAAGTGGTAACGCCTTCTAACATTTCTTTTGTTATACCACTGTACCGAGTGAGATAATCAATGATAGGATTTTCTGGTTTTACCAAACCATCATATATAACCTGTAATAAGAAGTCTTCAGAAGATTTCTACACTTCCGTTATTGGAATAATATTAATACCAGACTTACATTCATACTTTCATCAACGAGAGATATTCTCGTTAGTTCTAATTCTCCAGAAGTTGTTCTACACATTTCACAGTCTAAGCCAATCATCGGAGATTTTGCACTAGCTTCTACATAAACATCCTTTGTCATTATATAATTTCCATATCTGTAAACATAAAAAATTTAGTTATTCAATTGTAATATAATTAAAAATATTTGTTTCATTAAACCCGACCTTTTTGCTAGTTCACCCTTGAGGGGAACAGGATAATTTTCTTCAACCATTTGACACAAAGATAAGAGTAATTGTGTTCGGGGAAACTTATCCGTAGAAGGTACTTCAGATTCTTTTGTAACATTTTCATTATCTGTTAATGTACTCGAATTTATTGGAAAAACAACTCGTAATATTTTTATCACATCCCCTGTAGTTTGTAATGCTGCCTCTAATGATCCATATTCTAAAAAAAAAGCAATTTGCAGTATTTTTTTAAATATTAAAATGCAATGCTACAAATTCCATCACTTTAAAACACACATACCTTTAATCAATTTATCACATTGTAACCCAGTCATAGGAACAGCTGCAAGATCTTCTATTACTGATCCTCCATATGCCGTAGGCGTTACTACCTCTACGCGATGTTCCAACTTTGATGTTATATGTGAAAACATACTCTCATAAGCCATAAAATGGTACAGGGAAAGTCCTTCAACAACAAGAGCGACAGTGTGTGTGACCTTTTCATAAAAAATTTATCACTGCTTAATGATACTTCAAAAATTTACTTGCACTAAGGTATTAATATTTTCATTACCCTATTAAATTTTTCAAGTTGACACCATCTTGTAGGCATATAAGGTGAATGATGACCATGTAATGAATACAATAGTAAATGTTGTACATCACTCAGGAAAATAGGAACCCTATCTTCACTTTTAACATTAATACTTAAGCTAGCACTTTTACCAGCTGGTTTTAAATATAATCGTGGTATTATTTTAAGTTTCTTTTTACGTTCTCTCAATTCTTGTTTCAATTTTAAATATTCATCTCTACTTAATCTGTAATGTTAAACAAAGGAAACATACATACATTTTTAAAAATCAATTAATGTAAATTGTTTAGTATCTAGGTTTATTACAAACCTAGGTTTCTTGTTAGCAAGTGAATCTGATTCCTCTGTACTTATGTATATGTCTTCTGCATTTTCTGTTTTAGTAGAAATTTCTGAATATGTTTCTTTTAAATCCTTATCACAAGGACGTTTACGCTTAGAACTTTCTTCAATGGAAACTTCACTACTATCTGTATCATTAGGGAGATCAGCTTCTGCGGACTAAAGTAACAATCATAACATAATGTTTAGAACAAATACTAAAATATCATTAATTATACTAACAGTTTTTTTAAGAGCAAGCATTTTAGCTTTATCTTTATCATTTAATTTAGTAATTTCCAAAAGTGCAGCCATTTTCTTTTTCTTCTTTTCAATTCTTTGTAATTGTTTTGCTGTTAAATTTTGCATGATGATTTCGTTTCTTGCTTTACCTGAAAAAATTTTAAATTAAATACATATTAACAAACAAATATGAAAAGGTTGATACATACATATGATTCATCAGCTAATTATTAATTACTAATTATTTTATTCTACTAATAGTTTATTTTTTACAATATTAATGTAACAATAATATGACTATCAATAATATCAATAATATATAAACTTATAATTTAGATGTAAAAAGTTACTCATAGGTTTTAATTGTAATACCTTATGTAAATTGTTAATTATGATTACTTGAAAATTATAGACAATGGATGAATATATGTATAATATGTAATGCCAGAGAAATAGTATAAATTTCTATATAAAAATGTTGGTAGTGGTGTGAAATATAACCCTTAATAAATAAATACATTTGTTCATATAAAAATTTCTAAGCAAAGTTCTTGAATTTCTTGAGATAAAAGCTTACAAAATGATCTTTCAATTTAATATTCACTACAAGAATGTATCTATAACAAGGTTTATCGTTTTTCTCTCCATTATTTAAATAATAGTCATTGTTAAATACTAAACATGTCACTTGATAAATGACACAACATTTGTTTTAAATAAATGTATATAAAGTAGATAATATAAGAGTGTTTAATTTGCTTTCCTTACTTAAATTACAATATACTATTCAAATAAAATAGTAATGAGAGATAAGCATTGAAGGTTTATGCATTTATATATTTAGAACTTATTTGTAGCATGTGTTTTCTTGAAATGTTTTATATAATAAAAGGACAAAAAAATGAGATATACTAGTAAATGAAAGGAAAAGAAATTGTGATAAAATCTATTACAAACAGTAATTCATGTTCTGTTTACATTTAATTAAGATTTGTTACAAAACATAAAAAAATTAATACCATAATTAATCACATGTAAGGTTATGTTTCCACTGTGTTTTTAGGATAATGAAAATGTTTATAATATAATCTGTACAGTAGATATACGTGTACATGCAATGATGTTTCGAATTAAAACGCAAATAAATATTTTCACTTGGATAGTTTAAAGGTTTGTAAAAATAATAAACACCGAAACATTGAATAATACTTGGCACGTTACTACTGTGTAACTTGTCGTCACTAGAGGTCAGCATTTGATAATAATATGGAAATATGTGTAATTTGACAATGATATTGAGGCTCAGATTTCAAAATATTTACAAATTCATTGATGAATTGTTCAATTTCAATAATAATCTTTCCTGCAGTATCGACTGCGCAAGAGTAGTTCAAATTTTTTCGATTATTACGCGTTTCTAACAATATCCGGACTTTTTTTTACAATATTTAATTTTGTAGTAGAATATCATTTAAAGAATGAGTGTTTTGTAAAAGGAAATGGATTTGGTGTGTAAGGGATAAATAAATAGACTGTGAAATGCTGTAAAACAATATTGAGATATCGTAATCTTTCGTAAAATACATTTTAGTCCAAAAGTTTTCTAAAATGTCTCCAAGCTAATTAGTGAAGTCAAGCATAAATTAAACATTAATTTATTTATTAAACAAGAAATTATTGTCTCACGCTATTAATTAGTTTCCAGACATTATGCCAATGAGTTAAACAAGGAACGGAATAGGGTTGGACAAGGACAGAAAATTTTCAAAACTAGAGTAGCGCCATCTCGTGTTTGGCTGCGCGAACTAACGACTTGTTACTAGGAACACAGGATGCTAACAGAGGTATTAGACAAGGAAAGCACCAGTGTGCGAGAAGGATAGAGAGAGAACGTTTCCTATTGGTCTGCGGACCGTAATGGCCGCCATTCGGATGCTACATGAAGTCGGCCAGGGAAAAATCATTAATAACTCATTACTTAGAATGATTCTGTGAACTTTTAGAATTGAAGAATGAAGTACGAACCTTTAGAAACTTTCACATATAGATTTTATTGTTCTAGACCCTTTTAATAATTAGTTATTAATAATTTTAGTACGAGATGTCGGGAACGATACCGCATACGTTTACGGTTTTTCAACAATTTCATAGCTTTCTATCGATTTGTCATACAACTAACTACACTTATCCGAAAGGGGACTCCTTTGGCTGTATTCTTCTATAACTTTTATTAACATATCATTTGTGGTTTAGAAGTTATTAAACATTATATGAGAGAGTTTCGTATTCATCGTACTCGAGTATAGTCAACAATTGCTAATATCTAATAAAGCACGTCACGTACGCATGTAAAAATGATTGAAGAATGTAGATAAAGGTCTATACTATATTCTACATGCTTGAACGTGCAAAATTAACCATGCATATTCGTGAAAATGACGGAAAACCTTTACACTTGAATGCGACAAGTGTAATACGCACTCAAATAATGTTTAATATCTCGCAATCTGCAGCGGATATGTTAATGAAAACATAGCAAGAAACTAGCTAAAGGAATAGCCTTTCGAACGCATGTATGAAACTGCATGCAATATTTGTGCAAAGTTGGAAAATTAATTAAAAACAAGAATAGTGTGCGGTAACGTTCCCGGCATCTCGCATTAAAATTGTTAATAACTAATTATTAAAAGGGTCTAGAACAATAAAATCTATATGTGAAAGTTGCTAAAGGTTCGTACTTCATTCTTCAATTCTAAAAGTTCACAGAATCATTCTAAGTAATGAGTTATTAATGATTTTTCCCTGGCCGACTTCATGTAGCATCCGAATGGCGGCCATTACGGTCCGCGGACCAATAGGAAACGTTCTCTCTCTATCCTTCTCGCACACTAGTGCTTTCCTTGTCTAATACCTCTGTTCACATTCTGTGTTCCGAGTAACGAGTCGTTAGTTCCCGCAGCCAAACGCGAGATGGCGTTAATATAGTACTCTCTCTATCCTTCTCGCACACTAGTGCTTTCCTTGTCTAATACCTCTGTTCACATTCTGTGTGCCGAGTAACGAGTCGTTAGTTCCCGCAGCCAAACGCGAGATGGCGTTAATATAGTAAAAAAAAAAAGTTTCTATCCTTGTCTAACCCTATTCCTCTCCTTGTCTAACGCGTTTCTCTAGTGCTATCCTTGTCTTACTCTATTGTTTTCCTTGTCTAACACATTTCTCTAGTGCTATCCTTATCCACCAGTATTCCTTTCCTTGTCTTACTCAATTCTGTATTGCTAAATAGCTCGACGAATTATCATCGTTCGCGGTAAGCACAACTACTGATGGTACATCACCATTTTCCAATAAGAATTACACAAAAATTAATAGCACAAATCAACCAAAAGATTATACACGTATCACCCAAATTGTAATAAAAACATTATA